AGAACACTTAAAATCAATTTTTAAAAAAGGACAAAACTCAATAGAAAAAATGGGTAAAGAATATTAATAAGAAGTTCACAGTAAACGGAATAGATATGGATAATAAACATATGAAAAGGTGCTCAATTTCACTCACAAAGAATTTGTAAAACTAAATCAAAATGAGACCCCATACAGATTGCCAACAAACACATGAAAGAATGCTCAACATCATTAATCATTAGAGAAATGCAAATCAAAACTACAATGAGATATCATCTCACACCGCTCAGAATGGCCATCATCAAACAAGCTAGAAACAATAAATGCTGGAGAGGGTGTGGAGAAAAGGGTACACTTTTGCACTGTTAGTGGGAATGTAAATTGATACAGCCACTATGGAGAACAGTATGGAGGTTCCTTAAAAAACTACAAATAGGGGCTTCCCTGATGGCGCAGTGGTTGAGAGTTCGCCTGCCGATGCAGGGGACGCAGGTTCGTGCCCCGGTCCAGGAGGATCCCACATGCCGCGGAGCGGCTGGGCCTGTGAGCCATGGCTGCTGAGCCTGCGCGTCCGGAGCCTGTGCTCCACAACGGGAGAGGCCACCACAGTGAGAGGCCCGTGTACCACAAAAAAAAAACAAAAAAAACTACAAATAGAATTACCATATGACCCAGCAATCCCACTACTGGGCATATACCCTGAGAAAACCATAATTCAAAAAGAGTCATGTGGGCTTCCCTGGTGGCACAGTGGTTGAGAGTCCGCCTGCCAATGCAGGGGACACGGGTTCATGCCCCGGTCCGGGAAGATCCCACATGCCGTGGAGCGGCTGGGCCTGTGAGCCATGGCCGCTGAGCCTGCACGTCCAGAGCCTGTGCTCCGCAACGGGAGAGGCCACGACAGTGAGAGGCCCACGTACCACACACACACACACACAAAAAGTCATGTACCAAAATGTTCATTGCAGCTCTGTTTACAATAGCCAGGACATGGAAGCAACCTAAGTGCCCATCAACAGATGAATGGATAAAGAAAATGTGGCACATATATACAATGGAATATTACTCAGCCATAAAAAGAAACAAAACTGAGTTATTTATAGTGAGGTGGATGGACCTGGAGTCTGTCATACAGAGTGAAGTCAGTCAGAAGGAGAAAAAAAAATACCATATGCTAACACATATATATGGAATCTAAGAAAAACAAATGTCATGAAGAGCCTAGGGCTAGGACGGGAATAAAGACACAGACCTACTACAGCATGGACTTGAGGACACGGGGAGGGGGAAGGGTAAGCTGTGACAAAGTGAGAGAGTGGCATGGACATATATACACTACCAAACGTAAAACAGATAGCTAGTGGGAAGCAGCCACATGGCACAGGGAGATCAGCTTGGTGGTTTGTGACCACCTTGAGGGGTGGGATAGGGAGGGTGGGAGGGAGGGAGACGCAAGAGGGAAGAGACATGGGAACATATGTATATGTATAACTGATTCACTTTGTTGTAAAGCAGAAACTAACACACCATTGTAAAGCAATTATACCCCAATAAAGATGTAAAAAAAAATGAGACCCCCTTTCTCACACACTCGATTGGAAAAGATTGATAATACCCGTGTTAATGCAATGCTACCAAATATCAAAATGCCAGTTTAAGTTTAGGAATTTGCCCTGCAGATATATGTACTTCCAAACATGCGCAGAACACGTGGAAAGGATATTTCACTGCAGTATGGTTTCTGATGGCAAAACTGGAATGGACCTAGATGTCTGTCCAGCAATAAGGACTGGTAGAAAATGGTATATGGTATATACCAAAGGTATGGTATAACCTTAACATGGAAGAAAAGGCAATCAGAGCAGAAGGAATGATGGCTTTCCAGTTAAACAGGGCAGACTGAATCTACGAGCTTTTCTCCATTCCCACTCTAAATTCCATTTAAATTTTAGTAAAGGAATAAAAGAAAACTATAGACCCTCGCCCTGTCTGCCCAAGGAGAGGCAAAATGAAAGGGGAAAAAGCAACGAGAGGGAGGAGCAAGGGGAGGGAGAGCAGAGAGGGACACAGCCCAGAGCACTGGAACCTTCCACCTGCTCACGGAGCGGCCAGAAGCAGCAAGACCTCTGTGCCTCAGAACCCAGAAAATTAAGGAACTGAAGGGTCCAGGTACTGTGAACATAAGGCTGAGGGCGGAGGCTGTCAACCAGAAAGAGGGCGGTTGGACCCCCCAGCCCTCAGTGGTTCACCTAGCAGGAGAAGGTTTCTTTAGAGAAACTGAACTGAAAAGGTTCAGGGACCCCAGGCAGCATGGAGATCAGGGATGTCACAAGAGGCTGAAATGGGAGGTGAAGAGAAGTCCTCCTACTGAATGGTAAAGGGTGTCATTTCAACATCCCTCCACCGCCCCACACATACACAAAACCACTTAGGGTAAATGGGAAAGGGCTCTTCAAAACTGTGATACGATGCCACCAACTGTAAAAGTTCAATAGAGTTTAGAGGAGGAGGATGAAGAAATCAATGGAAATAAGGGAAGGCAAAATAAGAAATTAAAAGTGTAAAACATAGAGGTCCCAACATCCAACCAACCTGAATAGCAGAAAAGAGAAGAAAGAAAATGGAAGAGGGGGAGGGATTAAAGAAATCATACAAAAAGGTTTCCCGGAACTGAAAGAAGGGATTTCCCAAATGAAGAGGCTGAACAAGCAAGTGCCCAGCACAGTGGAGGAAAAGACTCCCTGCAAATCAGCATCGTGGATGCTCATAACCTAGAGAGGAAGAGAAGATCCTTCGAGCTCCTACAGAAGATGGGGAATGAGGACACTGGCCTCCTCAACAGCAACCCTGCGTGCCCGAAGACAACAGCAACCCTGGCCTCAAGACTCTGAAGGAAAAGGATTCCCAACCAAGAATTATACACCCAAACAGACTAAGTCAACCAAACTCAGGATAAAGTTGAGGTAAGCATAAAGATGCTGCTGATAAGCAGGACCCCAGAGAACTTTACCTGCCGTGCCCCCCCTCTCAGGAAGCTGCTGGAGGACAGGTTCCAGCATAATGAGAAAGTAAACCAAAAGAGAGGAATACAGGAGAGGAGGATACAGGAAACAGAAGAGAGGCAAAGAAGACGCCCAGATATTAGAAGAGGAAAATCTCTGGATGGCCTAGGGAACAACTCTAGACTGGAGCAGGAAGTCAGAATGATGTGGGACAGATGTCCACTAACAAGCAAAAACACAGAAAGGTTAGGTCTGTGGAGGTACTTGTCCATATTTAGAGGGTCTTTCATCTCTGCAAAAGAGTTTGAGGGATATATTCATAAATGCTACACAGAAAACTAAGAAAATAGAAAGACACCATAATTACTAACTCCAGGAAAAACAGAAAGTTTGTAAAAAAGAAAATAATCACAGAACCCTACAGAGCTCGCCTTTGAATAATATTTACATATTCACAATAACATCAATACTGAATGCCAATCTAACCAAACCTGTAATACAATTGTTTCAGGAGAACAGAAGGTGAGGAAACATGTGAGTTGGTTGGTTGATATTTTCAGGTAAAGCAATAATGGCATTAAATCCTCATCTACTGTGTTAGGAAGCTGGCGGACAATGTCAGAAACTGGAAAATCAAAAAATAGGAGCGTACACATTATTTAGAGACATAAAGGAAATTAGCAGAAGAAACAACTAAAAGAGTTGAAGGTGATCAAATCTGAGGAAGAGGTTTGGAGATGAGGCATGGGGCAAAGACTGCTGTTTTTTCATTATGATTTTTATAACATATTTAACTTAAAAATTGTGTACATGTGTAACTTTGATAAACAATTAAAATTTAATTAATTGTGAAAAGTAAATCTACCCATTTTGACACAGAAACACAGAAAAACAAGAGGTCACACGGTGTGTAAATGGCAAGATTCCACATGGGTTGGGTTTTCAGGCATTTCACAAAGATGGTGATCAATGCAGAACAATCGAGGAACAGACACACAGAACTATTAACAATGAATGTCACAGAGGACTGGGCTGGGAGAGGGGGAAAGATGAATATGAGATTTTTACAATTTTTACTTCCTCAGTCCCTGTACTTTGATTTTTTAACAATAAGCATGAATTACTTTCTAAATAAAAAATACTTTCAAAAATTCATCCTCTTAAAAACAGTTTGTAATGGATAAAGAAGATGTGGTACATATACACAATGGAATACTACTCAGCCATTAAAAAGAATGAAACAATGCCATCTGCAGCAACACAGACCGACCTAGAGATTATCATACTTAGTGAAGTAAGTCAGACAGAGAAAAACAAATAGCATGTGTTACCACTTATATGTAGAATCTAAAATATGACACAAATGAACTTATTTAGGAAACAGACTCACACACATAGAAGATAAACCTATGGTTACCAAACAGGGAAGGTGGGGAGAGGGATAAATTAGGAGTTTGGGATTAGCAGATACAAACTACTATATATAAAATAGATAAACAACAAGGTCCTACTGTGTAGCACAGGGAACTATATTCCATATCCTATAATAAACCATAATGGAAAAGAATACGAAAAAGAATACGTATATGTATGTATAACTGAATCACTTTGCTGTACACCAGAAACTAACGTAACACTGTAAATCAACTACACTTCAATTAAAAAAAATAAAACTACGTTTGTTGTTCCCTTTCCCATAAATGTTATTACTGTCCACATATATTTAATATAACTTGTCCAGTTCAGAAGTGTGAGGAAATGCTGAATGTATTTTTCATCTCTCATTTCTGCCCAGGTCTGATGCCTTGATATTAATTATGCCTCTATCAGGGGTGATACAAAAACTGGAGCCAAAACAAACCCCAAAGCTCATTGCTAACCTAAGCACTGACCCCATTAAGTGACAAACAGAGACAATCACTTTATCATCCTGCTACCGGCAGCTCAGGACTACAATAATGAGACCCAACCTGGGGACAAAAATTCTAGAGCCAGAAACTCGCGGCCCAGTCTTACCCAGCTGCCACTTGTGGGAACACATGGTCTCCATCATCCAGATGGGCAGGGCTGGCTCCAGCATGGCAATCCCCATGTTTGCAAAGCAGATGGATCCTTAAAGGGAGGAAGAAGGTTAGTGTCCTTGTGTTTTGGGTCTCAAGTGTCCCCTACCATTTCCAAACACAGTTAAATCCCCTGTGTCCACAGCCAGAACAATCAGCTCTGATACCCAGAACGTCTACTTTTGTAAGAAAAAGACAAATAACAGGTCAAAGGGATAGTAGGGAGTGTTGCTTTTGAAATTATTATTATTACTTAAAACAACTAGAATCCCAGGGTCATAAAGTGTGGAAGTGGAGGGAGGCTTAGTGATCACTAGGTTTAACCTTCCCAATTTATTAATGAAGAAATGGAGTTCCAAGTTATTAATGAAGTAACTTGCTTGAGGCGACTCAGCAGCTCAGGCCGACCATACACAGACTCAGGCAACCTGAGGCTCCTACACCCATGTTTCACTGTATAACAAACACAGATATTTCTAACGATGCCCTTAGTTGCCCAAAACTCAAGTGCATTCAGTGCAAATATGCTGTTGAGGGATTTTTTTTAAATCAGCTGTACCTATAGGGTATCCATGCAAATATCCATTATCACTGTGTTAACCAGAACCCTTTGTAAATGTAGAACCACCTGGAAAAATCAAATTGCTGTCCCCATTGTTCTGAGAGCTTCCTGTGCTGTGCCCCGTGGAACCTCTAATTTGCTAAACTCCTGATTCAAAGAACATTGCGCAATCATAATTAAGGTGTTTACATACGATGAAAGATTTTTTCATTCTTTGTAGCATTTAAAGACAGAACATAAAAATGATGCTGAAATGGCTGGACTCCCCTCACCCACCTATTCCGTGTTTTCTTAAATTCTGTATTTGTCTATTTGACGTTAATTACAGGGCCAAACTAACAACCAGAGTTGTTCAAGTCTCCCCTGTGATCCGGAACCCATACTCTGAGTCCCTGCTTTATCTAACTCTCACCCACCTCACCAGTATCTCCTGCCCTAAATCCACCCAGGCAACTGGGGAGAGCACCCAGACTGGAGTTATTTAAACTAGCCAACCCTAAACTGCTTACCCTCCCCTACCTTTCCCATGGAAAATCCACTTTCTCATGCAAACACCTAGGTTCTGGCCTGGGTCTTCCCCTCGCCCCTTTCTGCCTCCTGACCAAACCTGGTGCCTCCCCATGTGGCCCTGAGTGACGTGGCATGCCCCCTTTTCTCCAGAAACATAAGTAATAAAATCATCCATTGGTGGTATTAATCTCTCCATGTCATCTCGTCACTCAGTTGCCTCTGTAAACTAAACCCCAGCGGTACAAACGAGACACCGCCTGCCCCCCAGCTCCACCCCACACTCCACCATCCAGGCTGCCCGGACCTGCCGACAGCCTGACCCTGAGTGCCGGCTGGATTTCTGGATTTCCTCCAAGGGTGGGTAGGGGTGAGACAGTGAGGGCCTAGGCAGCACAGCCCGCCCACACGTGTGCCCCAAGGTGCAGGGACTCGCATCTCTGGGCCCCCATCTCTCACCACACATGTCCTCACCCCCCAGTTCGGACAGCCAGGGCTCCAGGGGAATCTCAGCTCTGGAATGTTCCCTGTGTCTTGCTGGGGACACAGTGAGGTCCCCCTGCATGAGGAGGTCGCCACACCAGGCTTATAACCCTTTGGTCAACAGGCATGACAGACAAGGTCTAGACCAAGGCCTCTTATGTGTTGCCGGGGCCAAACCCAGCAGTATACACCTTAACAAAAGCAGCCTGGGGTTTTGAAAGCGGCTGAATCTGAATGCCCTCAGGTGGGGCGTGCCTCACTTCACCCAGGCTCCCCCCAGCCCTAGTGTCTGTGACTGCTGCTTAGACACACCTACCCCTACCTGGAGGGAACCCTGACCGGGCCTGAGGCCGCACTGCATGGATGCTCTCTCCGGCCTGATGCCGAGGGTCACTGCTGACCACTGTGTCCAGGCCCAGGCCGCATAAGGCTAGTCCCTCACGAGGCAGCTCCAGGCCTGTGTCACTGGGGTGCTCTTGGGAGGTCAGCTGCTTGGATGGATGCAGCCCATTATCCTCCCCAAGAGCCACAGAACCCCAGGGCGTCCTTTGAGCCCATCTCAGCCAAGAACCCAAAGGTGTCTTCCAGCCGCCTGTCCGCCGCTGTGCAGGATGCCCTCTGCAGAAAGAGAGGCACCCTTTGGCCCTCTGGGGCCCTGCTGTCAGTCTCTATTCACAGATGCCAAGGTGAATCAGAGCACCCCCCTAAGGCACCGGCAGGGAGGCCATGGACCCATTACAGAAGTTCAAGGCCAAACGACAACAGCCTCTGACACAAACACAGTGAGCAAGTTTGGCCCAAAACAATCCTCTTGGAGGGCGTCTCTGTGACTCAGGCATCTCTGCCCCAGATGAAAAACAACAAAGGAGCCTGGCTGTGTCAGAAGTTAATGACAGAAGAAAACCATTTCTTCTGACGTGTAACCTCTTTGTGCCTTTTGTGTTTTTCTACAGCCCAACGTTTCCAGCAGCAAAATGAACGCTGGTCCTCACCGCCCACCCCCACCGCCTGGCTGGGAAGAACCAGGGGTGCTGGGGGAGCCCCACCTGCGGCGATGAGGATGTACGGGTCCTTCAGCAGGGTGGTTAGCGGCGTCCCCTTCTGGCTCTGTCAGGGACAACAGGGGTTAGAAGAGGCCACGTGGCCACCACAGCACCCGCCTTGCCCCGCCGCTCACCTCTGGCTGCACCCGGGATGGCTGGAGCACGAAGAGCTGAATAGCTACAGGAGAAAAAAAGAAGAGGTGTGGCCCCCAGCACCTGCCCACAGGGGTGCCAAGCTCAGGGCCCCCAAGGTCACGGCCAAGGGGTCCACGTGGACTCGCTCACCTCCGTCCAAGAGCACCAGGGCAGCCAGCACCAGGAACGGAGCTGTCTTCCCCACAAACTCGTACAGCACACTCCCAAAGGGGGGGCCCACTGCAAGGAAGAGGGAGAAGGGCCAGGGCCGGGCCCGGGACTGATGACCGCCCCCTGGTCTAGAACCATCTTGCGTTTCTTGCGTTTCTCCCTCTACTTTGTTCCAAACACTGTGTGGGGTGGCCACCCTACATTCTGTTCAGGACTGTTAAGTTGCCCTGGCAACTTCCTCCAAGGGGTTTCACACCTGAGACATGGAATCACTCCCAAAGTAAAGGTCAGAGGAAATAAGACCCAGGCAACGGAAGTGCACAGGAAAATGGACCAGTGAAGACTTCACAGCAGCACAGACAGGGACTGTGGGCTCCAGATGAAGGCCAGGAAAGTAACAGAAAACAGAGAGGACCTGGATCTCTCAGGGAAGGTGTTTGCACCTGGTCTGGGAGCTCAGCCAGGGCAGGTGGAGGAGGCAGGCTCAGAAAGTGGGAAGGTCCTCAGGTGGGTGGTAACTCAGAGAATGTTCAAGAGGAGGGGCCTTGGCAGACCATCCTGTTCAAAGCTTGGGTTTACACCTGGGCCCAGGAGGGAGGTCTGGGGAGTCCAGGTCCTCCCAGGTCAGGACCCTTCCCACCATTTTTCAAAGGCTCCATGAAATTAGGGAAGAAACAGTGGACACTAGTGTGAAAGGGGGCTCACTGTCCAATGCCAGATAGGCCCCTCCCCCCAGGTGGCCCCCACAGTGGCCCTCACCCACCTAAGACCCCCATGGCCAGGCCTCCCAGGGCAATCCCCATGGCATTGCCTCTCTCCTCGTCATCTGTGTACACGCTGGCCAGCATGCCCATCCCTAAACAGGAAAAGAAACAGTGACAGCCAAGCTCTGGGAGCAACAGAATAACCATCATGACTCACCCTCCCCCACCCCCAGCCCAGACTGTTGTCTCCCCACACCTGCCAGACCAACAGAACATAAGGCCAAGCAGCACTCAACAAGAAGGTGGTACCTTCTCTGAGAACCAACCACCAACCACCACCACCAATACCTATATTCCCTGAATTATTCCAACTCATTCTGTAAAGGGCCACCAGCCTGGGCAATGACGGTGGCCCCTCCGACAGATGGAAGCCCCGGGGCACTGACTTAGGCGTTTCCACACCTACCAGCCACAGAAGAGCAGGAGGAACCGATGCCCTGCAGGGACCTGGCGATCAGCAGGAAGGCGTAACTGCGGGAGAAGGCGAACACTGCGGGAAGAGGGGCCAGGCCACAGTCACTGTAGACCCGCTGGTGCCGCGACCAGATCAGCTCAAACAGGGACCTCCCTTAACCCGATGGGGTATTTCCATGTTAACCACACTGTGCTTTTGCTCCCTGAAGACTTCTCCTATCAACTTCTTTCTGCAGTTGTGGCCAAAACACCCCCCCACCCCCACCCCCAGCTGTGTTCTCAACTCCCAGCTGGTGGTGGTCAGAGCCCACCCGGTGACCCACACTCAGAAGGCAAACGTCAGACACTTACTAACTGTTGAGATAAACATGATGCAGAATCCCGTGAACATTGGAATTGGATAGCCGATCCTGCAAAACAGAACCACAATGAAAACCTGGTGACTGCTTCGTATTTGTGTAAGCCTTTATATTGAGTCTCTCCTGCTTACCCTTTGGGATCAGGTGTTTAAGTGTTTGGTCAACTTTTCTAAAAATTCATATAGTTGGTGCTTCCTATATGACCTTTCTGTGTTTGACTGTCTTGGAACGTGAATACATTTACGGATTGCCACTCTGAAATTTCTCTGGAATAAATGTTAATAAAATATTGGCAAGTAACCCAGAACACGTTCAAATACACAGCCCGTTTCCATCATTTTGTAAAAATTTCTTTAATTATAGTCTTTGCTAGAGCTTCCCCAAAGGGACAGCTGCAATCAAATGACTCTAGTAAAAGGTCATCAAGCGATTCAACGGGCAGCAGATGCAATGGCACTACATCTAAGAGGCATTAGGAAGCAAGGAAATTTTCAGATCTGTCTTCACATTGACCCCAATGAAGCCAGCTGAGAAAGACAGACCTTGTTTTCTGTGCAAAAATTCAACATCCTATTTGCTCTGTAAGACCACTGTCTGTACAGGGCTCTGCTACCAGGCGGACAGGGGAGGTGGGGAGACCTTGGCCTCCTGGCATCACACCCCTGCCTGGACACCTGGCCCTGCCATTTAACCCAGGCAAATCTCCCCTCGGCCCCGCAGAAAGACCACCACCCACCTCCCAGAGCTGGAGTGGGTATGAAATGAGATATGGATGTTAAACTGCTACCAGGGCATCCAGAACAGAAAAAGTGCCTCAGAAATTTTGTTTCCTCCCTCATTCTCTTCCTTTTTTCCTCTCTGTTTCTGCAGATTAAGCAAGCAGGTTGGTCCCCGCCATATGGACAGGGCATGAGAGTGAAGGCAGCTTCTTTCCCTCCCACGACCTGGCCTGAAGGGGCCAGCACTGGCTGAGCTACTGCCCTAAAGGAGACCTGTGTCAGCCCAGAACAGCCCTGAGCATCTCCAGGCCTCATCTCCCTCCAGCCCTGGACCCTCCAGATCCTGGAGAGAAACCATATGAGGAACAGAAACCCCGAGTCCCAGTCAAACAGCCTGGGAGGGCTCTTCTATTCCAGGCTTGAACAAAAAAATCATAACACAATACCTTCACCTTAAGGTTACACTCCATTCTCCAAGCGCTTACACACGAGCTCAGTGATCTGATAAGGGCAGACGACCACCTCCCCATTTTACAGATGAGGAAATTGAGGTACAAAAAAATGACTTGTCTAATGTCCTAGGGCTAATTTCACTCAGGGCCATTCAATCCAGTCCAGGACTTTTCCTTGCAGATTTTACTATCTCCTCAGGTATATGCCAAAAGGCATACGTGGCTTTAAGTAGAACCCTTCTAAAAGTCCTGGGCACACTTACAAAGTTTTTTAACTGCTTCATGTGCATCCGGAAACCAAACAGCACCACAAAATCATAGCATTCTCAGGCAGTCGCCCTCCCACAAACCCAGGCAAAGATTCCTCTACTGTGACCTGAAATGAGCTTGTAATTCACAAAGCGGGGCTTGAAGCCAATCCTGTGAACTAGGAAAGATACCAGAGGCCTGAACTGCAGTTCAGATGCCATCAAATGACAGCTTCTCCTGTCTCAACTAACACCGAGCTGACTGCTCTGTGCCCTTATTCATGTAGGAAAAGAAAGCCGTTCACAACACCAGGTCCAACATGGCACTGCTGGATACTGTGAAGGAAACTTCCAGGAAACTGAGAGAACTCACAGGCAGTTTATTTTCTCAGCAACTATTGCGTGTCTGGGGGAAGAAATGACATACGACCGCCCTGGAATAAACACAGGCTTCTCATCCATTTCAACATCCTACTTGGAAAACCATACATATGTCAAAGCTATCGGAAAACCAGCAATGTTATGTCCAGTCTACAGCCCAGCCACTGGCCAAGGTCACCTGGCAGGACACAGCTGAGGAGGGCTCCTTCTTACCAGGAGGCTCCAGCACTCCCAGAGACTATAAGGGTCACCTGTGATTCTCACCACAATTCCGTGAGGTAGCTGGCTTTATCCCTATTTTCAGATGGCCACATTGAGGCTTGGGGAGCTGCCCCAAATTCAGGGCAATGGGCATATCTCGTGTGTCTAAGGTGTGGCAGGGCCTGCTAGCATACACTTTGGTGGGGACACCAGTCACAGGAGCAGAGGCTCACACAGGTTGAGTGGAACCCAGGGCCCACAGTATCTTTTGAAACCAGGTGGCTCTGTACCCACAGGGCTGTGTGCTTACGGAAGGTTCTTTTTACCAAGGCCAGGTGCTGTGTTTTCTTTAAAAATGCTGTAGCTACTGTTTTGTCTTTTAATTCCTTTGGGATTTTAATAAAGCATGAATGGAATAACCAACCGGCAAAGCTAGAAGGAAATTCAAAGGCTGGCCAGTCCAAACCCCCAACATGGGTGAGAAAGCCGAGGTTCAGAGGTGAAGCAAGCCAATCGCTTCTGATGCCACCGGGCTCCCGCTGCTTCCTGCTTGTTACCAGACACATGTGCCCTATGCCTTCACCATCAGCCAAGCCGCTGGCAGGGCTGCCCAGTGGAAAGTGCTGGGCAGCGCCCTTCCCTGGAGCTCAGCCCCACGGCCAGTGTGGCCCGAGGGCCAGCTCCTGGTTCTCCACCCTCAGCCTCTCCTGGCCCCCTGAACACCGACCTCAGGAGACTTGCTCAAGGCCCCAGGGTCACTGAGTGATGGGCAGATCGCCACTGTCCTTTCTCCTTCCCCACAATGTCTCCTAAATGGACGGAACCCCAACTGACATTAGTCATAAATGTCTGATTCGGCCTCTTGTCCCAACTCAACACCATCTCAAGTAAAGTGCTACTAAGCAGAGCCACGCCTGATGTGGCAAACCTTTAACCACATATCCCTTTATCACCCCCTCGTGAGTCATCCTGGCCCACAGTCATCTTCACAGAGCATCAGGGAGCAGTTAATCCAGTTGAATAAAAATAAAAATCATATATTTGACTCCTAGAAAAAAGTGCAAAGCAATAAAAGTTATATTCATTACATATCCCTACCCAGTCAGCAGAGAAACCCCACTATGTCTCTAAATTGTCACTGGCAATCAGTACTTATCCTCTAATGCTCCTAACTAGTTTGTCTTTACCACAGAGATTAGTGTAAGCTCTCTTCCCAGGCTTGCTAAGACCTGGGTTCCCTCTGCTGTGGTAAGTGACAAAAGCAAGGACACAGAACAGGGGACAGGGAAGGGTACAAACTGTCACCAGATGAGACAAGAGGTGACATCTCCCATTTCGATTACCTCAACATACTCCTAAAAGATGAGCAGCAGTAAATGGAAAGGTATTTTACGTTTGCTAGGATATACTAGGAAGCTTGTGGTCAACCATTGCATAAATAAAACAAAATTCTTAGGTTTAGCCCCTGGGTCTGTCTTTTTCAGCTATCAGATGTGTGTGGGGAATTACGCGAGCCTTGGATTTCTTATTCTCCAGGGTGTTCACCGGCGCACAGGTCACGCGAGGGCTTTGCTCCCATGAGAAGTACCCAATTCCACGGCCAGCTTCTTCTGATTTTGAAGCAAAGACGCTGTCACACCGTCTCCACCACCCTAATGACATCGAGGATGGGAGATCCCTTTCCAGCAGAGCTGGTTTCCCTGTCCATGGAGGAGCTTTTTGAAAAGGTCACTGCTTATTCCTACAAAGCCCACTTCAGACCAGTTGCCTAAAGCTAAAGGGGAAAAAAAAAAAACCCACAGTAGATTTTGTAGAGATTTCATGCCCTGCGGCTTTCTCCCTGTCTTTCAGACGTTAGCTAAGATTTGTGAGGAAAAATAACTGGCTTTCAAATATACTAGGTAACTATGGAAATAAATTAAGTCACTGACGCTGGCTTGATAAAAAGCAGGCCACTAACACAATGACGAGCCGGGGAGGGAACCATCCCCACCCCTGTTAACCCTTTCCCAAGCTGCCGGGTTCGTTTGGAATATCCTGGGTCTAAAGATGCAACTACTATGTAAGCCTTACGTTAAGCAAGTGAACGCCATGATGCCTCGTTCTTAACCTGACTTACGGAAGAGAGAAATGTAAAGGTGGTTTTCACATTGTTTACCAGCCTGGAACATTCCTTTTATGTGTGTATGTCTAAACTCCACTTGCCAGGCCAAAAGACAACAGGTGTTGCTAGTATAAGTCCTTCTACCCCCTTTTACTCACAACTGCAATCATGAAATGAATACTTAGACTGGAATTATAAAATAAGTCACACAAGCCTCAAAGATGGCAATCAGACCAAGCAAGGCACCCGCAGGCTTTGGAAAGTGCGTTACCGGACGTGTGATCACCACACTCGACAAAATCTAAAGGTCCTTTGCTCCCTATCTGGTCACATCTTATTCAGTAAAAATATAGTTCCCAAAGAGTCAATGAAACAGGAATTACTTGTATCATATTAACAGCCAAATGAGCATTTAAATGCTTCCCAAGAATTGTCATTTTTTATTTTCAGGGTTTGGCATGAGATCTTATCCAATATTTAAAACAGACAGGCAGCCTGCGTCCTGTGTCACCACAAAGCCACTCACTCAGCAGCATCGTGACCATAAATTATGGGGCCCCAGGTTGTAACATGGGGGTTCGGATTATGACCTGTGTGATGTTGGGTGTCTCATTTCAGAGTGAGTCCCACTTACGGCAAGAAGCTTCAGAAAGGAGCGGCTCCAACCAGCCTGTCTCTATGGAGCTCCCCTCACATCTCTGGGGATGCAGGAGGCCTTTCTTTTCCCCACTATCAGAAGCACTGCAGAGACAGTGGGAAGTTGGACCAGCTCACATCACGGGCTGGAAAAAGATATTTTTCTAGGGCCAGGGAGGTGAGGGAGGATCCATGTCCCAAAAATCAGGCTGATTTTTCCTAAACTCCCTCCCATTGGATAAAAATAGCACCCAACAACTTACTGTTTGGACCTTCCCTCATTCAGCCTGGCACACAAGGGAGAGCCCGAGTAGATGCAAAAAAAGCAGATTTTGACCTGCATTGTTTATATTTCGTAGCCAAAGGTACAAACTGTGTAACAGTAAGCAGATGGAAAGAACAGGAAGGAAGGAAGCCATTGGCCAGAGAGTCTGGACAAATGCTTTCTCCTCCTGAGTAGCAAACCCTTTTGCCTATAATATACTAAGACAGGGGCTTCCCTGGTGGCACAGTGGTTGAGAATCTGCCTGCTAATGCAGGGGACACGGGTTCGAGCTCTGGTCTGGGAGGATCCCACATGCCGCGGAGCAACTAGGCCCTTGAGCCACAGCTACTGAGCCTGCGCATCTGGAGCCCGTGCTCCGCAACAAGAGAGGCGGCAATAGTGAGAGGCCCACGCACCGCGATGAAGAGTGGCCCCCGCTTGCCACAACTAGAGAAAGCCCCCGCACAGAAATGAAGACGCAACACAGCAAAAATAAATAAATTAATAAACTCCTACCCCCAACACCTTCTTTAAAAAAAAAAATTAATTAATACCAAGACGGACCCAAAAGCTTCTGCTAAAGTCTCCTCAAGATCTGAGGCTTCATGTTTTAACTACTCCTTAACCAGAAACATATTAACCAAGTGTAAAATGCTATTGTAAACTCACTTCTTTACAACACTGAAAATGTGAGTCACACGTCTTGTTGGTAATTGCGGATGTGATTGGCACAAATTACATCAGAAGGCTATTTGCAATGGCTCACAAAGGAAGAGTCTGTAGAGGGAAATGTATTTATCACTTCTCTGAGCACAGCCGTGGAGTGCCCAGAAATGCTGACAGTCCCCAAATTCATATCTACTGGGCTTGGAAAATATTAGAAAAAAATTACTTATCATGATCATTTTGGAGGGACAACAGAGTTTGTTGTCCTACATCAATGTTAAAACTTGTTTGCATTTCCACATTACAAGGCAGTGCTAGAAGATGAAGATTATTTTGAAATTTGCTGGAGAGCTGGGAGAAATCAGCTAGGGATTAAAATTTTGCCCTCAATAAGTTCCAAAGTGGATTACGCACCATACCAATAGACTAAATCTCACAGGTCACTAAAGGAAATTAGTTTTCTCTTGGCAGATAATCTTTTGGGAGCCCCAAACGTGAGCCTTAGGTGGCTGCAATGTCAAAGCATTTGGAGTATTTACTAGGGGAAAGGTCTCACTGGTTTTAAACAAGCTGCTGCCCGGTAGCATAAGCGAAGCATTAAAAACAAGAATGGGATGTTTCTGTAAGCTTTTCATTTGCCACCTGCGTTTGGAAGATTGGAACACTCACATCAGTTCAGCCGAGTTTCTAAGTATTACACGGTGCAGTTAGTGACATTCACGTCCAAGTGACTGGCAAGGCGTCATGACAACAATGTCCTCAATTTTCCCAATATAGGATCTGAGCTGTTTGCTTTCTCAGAATACAAAACCCTGAGCTGTTTCCTGTAATTATACCAGATGCATTTTAAGAAGCGCTCTTAGGCTTGAGAAAAGAAAGAAAACCCTGTAACTATGAAGGTCTGTCTGATTTTCCTCCTGAAGAGCAGAGGAGCTGCCGAACGTCGCCGTGATGACGGTGCCTCTTGGTGGGCTCCCAGTCAGCCCAGCGTCCTGCGGTAACTTGCTCAGCGTTTTGTGCAGCAGCCCGGTAACACTGCACAGCAAACTGGAGGCTGGATGTGGCCTGGGACGGTTAAAATGGATTCAGTGGCCCTACTCAGCGCGGAAAATCGAATCACAGAAGTTGAAAATGTGCTTCTCTCGGACTCCCCATGAGTACGTTACCGGCAACCTGCGTGCCAGAGGACAGCTCGTGCGGAGGAGGGCAGATCCCCTCTCTGAGCCCCTGCCAACACCCCAGGCCTCCCACCCCGCAGAGCGGGCCCCGCTCTGAGAAGGGTCCCCTGCCTGGTTTAACGCTTCTGTTGTTGCCATCTTGAAATGCTTAATAATATTTTAATAGAAGGCCCAGCCAGCCCTGCTCCACCTTTCCCAAGGCCAAAGCCTGGTAAATGTACAGACCTCCCTGCTCCCAGCCTGCAGGGGGTGCTGGGCTGACCTGCTTAAAATTGCGCTCAGCTCTCTGACTCTGCAACTTGGCTTCGGAACCTCTAGTGGTTCCCAAGTGCCCCCCAAACAAGCCCCACTCCTCTCTCATCTAGCACATGAGGCCTCTTATAGCTCAGCCCTGCCGGGTCCCCCCCCAGCCCCGGCCTCCTCAGTTCACCCCGCCCCCTCTTTTATTCTCCTTTTTTCTCTAGTCCTTGTCTTGGTTCTTGCTACTAGGCCTGGTTCACAGGTAGGACTCTGGGCACCGCCCCATTTTTCACATTGCTGCCTTTGGGGTCACACTGTTACATAGCGGCCCACCACCACCATTCACACTCTACCAGCTCCCACTCTTTGCAGCTGACACCTCCTCCCCTCCTCTGCAAGCCCCCTGTCCTGTACTTGGAGTCCCCATATATCAGGCAGAGCTGGCCCACCTCAGCTGTAGAAGAGCAAATACTTGCTGGATGGCCACCAGCAATGGAAATGTGAACAGTTATTCAAAATAATGTGGGTCCCAAAAGACTCCAGAACATTGAGATTAATATAAAGCTAGTTTGGGCAGCTTGAATCATCCAGAAAAAAAGCCTCTTCCCTTTGTGCACGTGGATGCAGCTTAGTAAGTGGCAGGGGAAGAACTGGTACACTGCCTAGGACCTCAGTGTCAGCGAGATGTTTCGTATACGCAGCAGGACTACAGGTCATGTGCCACGTTCCCCACCTGGCCATCCCCACGAGCACTGAGCACGCCAGCCCTGAAGGAAACCACCTCAGCTGTCTATCAGGAAGTGCATGACCACAGGTGCAAGAGAAGAGAAAGCCACATGGTACGTACAATCCCACAAGGATGGTCACGGTGGCAGTGAAAAGGGAGACCAAATGGGAAATCGTGATTGACTAAGGACAGAAACGTAAGGCGAAGGAGACTGGCTTTTTCCCCAGCTTTGGTTTTCCAGATTCTGATCAATGAATGAGAAGCAAAATCCCAGGTGGAAGTGATCTGGAACAATATAAATATCAAACTTTTTGACCAAAATGATATAACCCACCTGTTGGTCAACAGTCCTATGAACGGGTTGGTGAGGAGCTGGACGGTGGCTTTCGAGGCAAACAACAGGCCGACCTGCACGTTCTCATTCAGGAGGTCTTTGTCTTCACTGGGACAGTCGGAAGGGGCAGTGGACCTGTTAGTCACTGTGCGCTGCGTGGTGGCCTCATGCAGCAGCGCCCCCTGAAGGCTGCCGGTGCTATTGCCGGCGACCACGGTGGAGTTGTCATAATAGGAGAAGATGTTCTGGAAGCCGCCGAAGGTGGAGGCTTTGGGCACTGGCTTGGCAGTCTGGATTTCTATAGCATCTTTCTCATGCTCGATGCTGTACAGGTAACTTGGGATGATGGGGACTGAGAACAAGAGCAGGAGAGTGGCGATTACACTGAAACCCTGCCCGGGACCAAAGCCAGCAAAACCGTGGTCTTGCCAAATGCTAAACGAGGCCCAGAGAAGTGGCATGTCTGCCTCGGGGATGGGACCTCCGAGCCGACACTGAACAATTTCACGTTGCTCAGCTCTGCGAACAAAGCCCCAGAGGCTGTGAGAGCTCTCAGGGCAGCTACTGTGCAGACCTGACCCACCCCAGAGATCCCTGTTCTCAAGGGCTTTCCCATTACAGGGCTCCTTCACAGGAATATTTTAGGAAAGCAAGATTCGGTCTGAAGCCTAATCAGTGCTGACCTGGGGTCAACCAGTACTTCTCAGAAAGAGGCTAGAAAGACCTTTAAGTGAATGAATCAAGGAAACAGAAATCTAAATTTCATTAGGTGTCTTAGAAAAGAATAAACCTGCAAGAAGTAATAATTCAGAAATTCTGCAGCAGGCCCACTTCATCTTTCCATTACTTGAGTGGGAAGCTTCAGTGTTTCATACAACCTGGAAGATCTGAGACTTTCGTAGAGGAAAAGAAAAACTGATGTACTGGAAGCTTCGGGCATGTGCATCACAGAGCATTCAAGACAAAGGAGGATTTGGGCCCTTGTTACTGAACTCAGATGAGCGCCCCCCGCCCCAGCTCTGATATTCCTGGAAGTGAAACCCTGACTGTGTGATGTTCTGAAAACCATCGAGAGAGAACCTTAAATGGAGAGAAGGGAAACAACCCTTTAAAAAATCATTTTTTATTCATTAAAAATTGGGATATTTTTAAGGAAAAACATGTCAAATCTGTTGCTGTTAATGGTGCTAATTAAGAGAACTGGATGTCAATTATTTAGTTTTTCAAAAATCCATTACAGGAAAAAGATGAAAACCAATGCCGTTAAAATTGCTCTTGATGTGGGTCCTGTAATGTCTCCATGTCAAGTCATCTGTAGAATCACTACCTTTAAATGTCCCTTCCTTTTATGGAGGGAAGGATTTTGACCTGTTCCTTGAGGTGACAGACCACATTATTGACCCACCTTTCCGGGTAGCATAATAATTATTATAACATTATTCTGAATCCTGGGACTTGCTCCTCCTTAATAGATTTCTTTTTTTTAATCGCGTTGAAAGTGACAAAGGGAAGCAGGAAATTATCAGGAGGAAACATAAGTTCTGGGTTTTATCTGCTGTCACATTTTTTGACCGGACCGCCAGGAAAACGAAGCCACAAACACGGCTACTAGCCTAGACGAGGCAGTCTTGGGGAATGTATTTTTGCAAAACGTCTTCTCGAACTTTCCCGAACCGCGCTCGGGTAAGCGGGACGCCCTGGGAAGGGGTACCCGGGGAGGTGGGGGTTGGCGCCCGGTCCGTACGTACCCACGACGGTGAGCAGCATGTTGTCCAGCAGCAGCGCGAGGAACACGATGAACAGGATGAGCTTCCGCGAGTGCCGGCTCTCCTGCAGCCAGCGGAGCAGTGCCAGCTCGCTCAAGGCCATGGCTCCGGGGCTCGGCTGCGGGCGCGGCGCACGGTCGGTCAGGGGCTCTGCCGGGCTGGGGGCTCCCCCAACCCCAGGCCCCAGACTTCGCCCGGCCCGGCCGCCAAAGGGGCGCTCGGGGAGCTGCGCGCACCAGGCGGCGCCGGATGGTCCCGGGCGTCCCACCCTCGGCTTACCTTCGGCGAGCGCGTTCTCAGCGGCACCTGCGCTCCTTGTTAATAACGCCCACGAGCGCCGTCTGGGCCGGATCCTGGGCGCCGCCCGGCTCTCCGCCGCCCCCGCGGGTCCCACTTAACCCCCTGCGCGCTCGGAAAGTGCCGCGGGACGCCTGCGCACCGTGCGTCCTGCGCCCCGGGTTTCCCGGGACGCCCTGGAACCCCGCGCGCGGCGCCTCGGGGGGCTTCCCCTGCCCTCGGCCGGGCCCCGCTCTCCCCCGCGCCCCGGGCGGCGACCCGTCCCCAGCGCCGAGCCCCGCGGGCAGGGAGCGGGGTCGGCGTTACCTCAGGTGGTCTGCGGCTGCCTGCTCCGGCCGCCGAGGGCTCCGTCCGTCCGGGCGGCTCCGGGTCGCAGTCTCCGCCCCAGCGCCCGGCGGCCGCCGCTCAGTTTACCGGCTCTGGCTCTGACGTCAGGGCCGGCGGGGGCGGGGGGCTGGGGCGCCCCGGCCTCCACCCTCCCGCGCCGTCACTGCGTCGGAGTAGCCACCGCCTTCCTTTCCCCGCCAGGTGCCCGACCAGGTTCTGAGCCCGGATCCTAAGGTCGCCCCGTCCTAAGCAGACCCGAACCCCTGTCCCTGCACTTGGCCGTGAGCCCTGGGAACCCGGGTCCGGGTGAAGTGGATGGGTCGCAGAGGGAGGACGTCAAAAGCCCCAGGCCGAGAGGTCAAGGATCTCAGGGTGAAGGGTCAGGGGCCAAGATAAGGAGTCAGGGATTAGTGGTTTCATCTGGCCCAATTAGGAGCTAAAGCTCTCTTTGAGCCTCCCTGTTCCTGAAATTGGCCGTGAGAACATGAAGGCTAGTGAGTGTGCCAGGGAAAGAGGTCTTAGGGTGTTGGCAGCCGGGGACCGATCTCTTTCCTGGAGAAGCCACTCTGCACCCCACCACCCCTCCCCTCTCCCACCTCGGTATCATGATGCAGGGTGCCACTTGGAGTCTTTGACCGTCGGGTCCTCAGGTACCCTCCAGATGGTGATGTGGAAACAGGGGGAAAGGGGACATCTCTCAGTGTCACCCCACAGTGAGAGTGGGGTTCTGAGGGCCCCAGGCCCTGAATCCAGTTCTCATAAAATAGGACCATGTCACCCTGAGCAGGGGACACTGGAGAATAGGTGAGTGCCTGGCGCCTTAGTAAAAGGGCTTACGGGGCAGCTGCCCCAGGCCCTGTGTGCTGTAGTCCTCTCCCCTCGGCGTTTTCCCCAGGGATTCTGGTTAAAAAGATGGTTGAAACAGGCAAAGTGCCTGTGTGTGGCTGACCTGGAGCTGTCATCCTCACTACCAAGGAGTAGCAGCCCGCCTTTGATTTCCAAGTCCCTCCATTTTATAAACAGAAGAGAAACAAACAGACATGCCCCAAACAGAGCTGGAGCTTTGAAGACCCTTCTGGGGGCGGGAGAAGCAGGAGCTGTTTTCTCGGAAAGCCACTTGAAATAAGCGTTGTCTGCTGCAGCCTCAGCCGTAGAGTCTGGCCTTGTTTTCTTAATGTTTCCTTGTCAGCTGGAGACTGCTTAGAGCAGCAGGGTGATGTGTAGGGCTCCCCACTCTCTGTGCCTCCTTACTTCCTTCCCGAAACCCCCCTGTGCTGCCCCCGATGTGAGAAAAATGTTTGGATACGTAAGTAGGTCAGGAACATGCGGACTCTGGGATGTCCCAGGATATGTGCAACTTAAATATTAAACAGGGAGGAGAGAAGGAAAACCACTTAGGAGGAGAGAACAGATGGCAGGGAGCTGTTTCAGCTGGCTGTGAAGCGTATCACGTTCATGGGGTGCCCCAAAGTGCCTGGAGTTTCAGAACAAAGACACAGGTCCTGCCCCTGTGCCCCCTGGGCAGAGAGGCATCATGGTTAAGGGCTCTTGTCAGGATGCCTGGGTCCCAGTCCACTACGTCCTTGATTGGTGACCTCGGGCACATTATGTATCCTCTCTGTGCCTTAGTTTCCCCATCTCTGCAGTGGGGATGCCAACTGGACATACTGCAGGGTTATTGTGAGGATTAAGTGGGGATCCACAGTCATCCCTTAACACAGTGCCTGGCACAAAGTGAAATTCGGCGTCCACCATTCATCCATCCAACAAATATTTGTTGAGCTTTTAGTACATGCCAGGCACCGTGGTTGATACTGGAGAGACATTAACGGCCCAAAGAGACAAAATCCCCATCCTTGGGGTGCTTACACATTCTGGTAGCAACACCACACAGTGAACACAGGAAGCCACACCAACTCCAGCCCAGGCAGCTGGAGGAATATGGCACTAGGGAAAATGCCAGCCCCTGTGTTCCCTCCGCCTGATCTCTGCCACCACCCCTAGAGCACCATGGCCTATAACAGTGTCTTCAAACTTCTTGTTGACACCCCCAAAGAGTTTCTAAAAAGATAGGTATGCCTCACACATTTCTCAGTTGACATCTAAAATATTCTTTTATCATAAATTTTAATAGTTTAGGGGTATATTATGTAAATTCACCTTTATATATAAAACCATTATAACTCTCTTTTAAATGTACCCAATGAATTATAAAACTACCGTTTTATAATTAAATTAAATTTAGTATTATAATTAAATATAATTATAATATATTTTAATATATAAATAAATATATAATAAATTTTATAATTATGATTAAATTATAATTAAAACTACCATATTATATTTTAAAATACTAACAAGTTTCTCTTTAACACTCAAAAATTTACATTGTTTCCTTTATGTCTTCAAAGTATATTTTCTTTCTGCTTTCAACAGAATTTTATCCAACTGTAATGTTTTTATTATTTAAATCCAGTATTCACCACCTTATCTATTATATGAACTGCAATAAATATATGAATATGCATTAGCTTTTTAAAATTTTCTTATGGCCATAAGGTTCTAAGTTCTAAGGTTCTCTCTAAAATTGTGTTATTATAACAATTATTAGTAGTATATAAATGATAACGCCTCAGACATATAATATGAATTTTGATAAATATTAAACACACACACAAAAAAGGAACACTGTATTAGAAGCGCATTACCTAATGAGATGGGTGGAGAGAGGATTTTTGGAGCCTTAGAAGAAGAGAAAGTATATTGTTTTTATGCCTCAGAACAATGTAACCCAGTAAAATGGTAAGAGTCAGGTTGGGTGGGAGGTAAGCCTTTCCTCATCAACTGAGAGACAGGAGATTGTTGAAGGGGGAGGTGATAAAAGAGAATCCTTGTGTCTCTACCTGGGCCCATCTTAGCCAGATCAATTTTTAAATACAGGACATATGGAAATTGAGGGTCTCCTATGGCTTGGGAAGTCTTCATACATACCCAGTGTCCTGAAGGAGCCAACCTGGGAGGCCCTGCCTGATCTGGGACTTTGGGACTCTGTAGCCTCTTATTCAACTCAGCCCCTGCCTTTCCCCTCCAGCCACACTGGTTCATCAGGATCTTTGCACATTCTCTGCCTAGAAATTTCTTCCTCTTCTTATTCTAGTTATCACCTTCTCATTCTTCATTACCAGCCCTGGTACCACTTCTTAGGAGGAGCCACACTTTCATGGACATCCCCCAAGTATCAGACAGGTCCCCTTCTCTTATAAATCTGCATGGAACTGTTACTTCCTCCAGAATATGTCTGTCCATGAGGAACAATACTCACATAAGTGTGATCAGTTATCCCTGTCTCCCTAGGTTATCAGGACTGCGGATACTCTTCTTGGTCATCACTGAGGTTCCAGAACACAGCTGATGCTCATTAAATACCTGCAAAAAGGATGTGCTCTGGGTAAGTCGGGTTCCCTTCTGAGGCGGAGCCATGGGGACCAGAGAGAGAAGCACCGTTGCTGGAAGGCAAAGGTTACACCTCCCCCCACCAGAGGCCACTCCTCTGGGACCAGGCTTTGAGGAAGTCCCCTAGTGAACACAACATTTATTTGCTCTTCCTGGGCACTCAGACTGGTGAGCTCAACCACCTTTTTCAAACACTAGGGACTGGGAAGGTACAAAGGTACCACCAGGGTTGACTTTTTTTCACTAAATTTCAATATTTAGGAAAGGTAAGGCATGGAGCTTTCTGGAACATAGCAGTTATTTGAAATAGGCATTATTTGAGATAAACTAACATGAGTTTAAGCTATGAATGGCAACCTGATTGGGTCAGTTTTACAATTCTGTGAACTGGGGCACGTTACTTAACTTTTATGTGCCTGTTTCTCATCTGTCACTCAAGCATGATAAGAGGGGCCCCTGACAGTTGTTTTGGGGATCAAGGGAGATGATCCTTGCATAGTGCCTGGCACATAGCAGAGGCTCACACTTTAAGTGTCCCCTGGCCTCGGGAAAGTGAAAGTGAAAGTGCTGATACGTGGGAGGTGTAGCTAGTCTGTGGGGAAAATCCTCAGGTGCTCCCCCAACCAGAGAACTTGGAAATAATGAAAACAAACTTATGACCTGGACATTATGCTGTGAAATGCAAACAAAGGATCAGAGCAGAAATGGACAATAGAATCCTGATGAGACACAATGGTTCGTGGGCAGCAAAACCTGATACACTGGTTAACACATGGGTAGAGAAAGGAGGTGGAGTACCCAGTGGAGAGCCAGGCACAGGGTAGAGCAGGCTGTTCGTAGATAGAGGAAGCCCCAATGGCTCCCAAGCTCATGAAGAGACACTCAGACCCACTAGTGATCAGAGAAATGCCAATTAAAATGAGAGGGAGATGCAGTGCTACACCCATTGGACTGGCAACAACTAGGAAGTTGGGTAAATGCCGTATGTTGGTGAAGATGTAAGGAAATGGGGACGCTTTCCTTGGGGGTGGAGGGGGGACTGGTGCAGCCTTTCTGGAGAGCAATCAGGAGTGCTTGGTGGAATTAAGTCAGCATGCACCCTCTGATCCAGTCTAGGACTCAGGGAAATCCCTAAAGGGGAAGGACTACGGTAGGCATCGCAGTGTTTTTGGTGGCAGTGGGAAGTTAGAGGCCACCTCAGTTTCCATCACTAAGGAATAAATAATTGAAATGTGGAGGATGCTCATGGTGGAGCGCCATGTAGATGGGATTTCCCCGGGTGACTGTGCACAGGTTTTACTAAGTCTTGAGTATGAAGGAAGGAGGAGGAGAGCAAGTTTTTAACAAGATTGCTTGTTAGTTCAATAAAAGCTCGCAGAGCACCACTTATTTTGGAGGTTTCATTCCTATTCAAGGGGCCGTATTAAGCCCCTCAGAGTGGGTGCCTTTGTAGAGAAGGGGTCGAGGAGTGAGCATCTGGGATGAAGTGGGAAAGTGGAAATAAACCAAGAAATGGACCTTGCAAGGACCAATGATGATAGTACACTCAGAGCTGAGACAGATGATCAACTCAACTCCCTGTGCACGTGGTTCCCCCCAAAGGGGGCTGTGGCCTGTGGATGCCTAGAGGGGTCAAAGCCTTTCAGTACAGAGTTGGCTGTTCTGAGCGCATAGGCTGTACGTGGGTTTTATCTCCTGGGGCAGGCAGGGCTGTGCTCTGTCTCAAGCCAGACTGACAGGAAATGAGAGCAGATGGAAACCAAGGTCCAGGAAAGAACGGAAAACATCAGAAAAAGTAAGCTCTCTGGCTAAATGCAAAAGACACAGGTGGTTTTCTGTTTTATTTTGTTTTGTTTTTTGCCTTTTCCCTCTTATTTTCTTTATAAGCTTTTAACTGTTTAAAATTATAACAATTGAGGGATTTATGGCACGGGTAGGTATATTATTTATAACAACTATAACTTAAAGGACAAGGTTGGTTGTGGGGCTATAAAGCAGCCAGATTCCTGTATTTTATGTGACGTGGTATATTATTAACTGTAAATGGACTGTAAAATGTCAAAGTTGTGTATTGTAATCTCTAGGGCAACTACTGTATAAGTAATACAAAGAAGAATAAATAGCTAACAGGAAAATTAAAATTAAATGGAATTCTGTAAAGTATTCAAATACTTGTAAAAGGCAGGAAAGGAGGAACAGATGAGCCAAAAAAAAACCCCAGAGGAATCAAGCAGAAAACAAAAAATAAAATGATAGATTGAAATCCAACTATATTAACAGTTACATTGTGTTCAGGGACACATGATTAAAGGACAGAAATTGTCAGAATGGATTTTTTAAAATATAGTCCCACCTTTATGCTGTCTATAGGAGACTCTTTAAATGTAAAGACACAGGTAGGTTGAAAGTAAATAGATGAAAAAAATACACCATGCAAACTGTAAGCATAAGAGGGCTGAAGTGACTACATTAATATCAGATAAAATAGATTTCAAAACAAAACTTTAAGTGGTGACATAAAGAAGGAGATATCATAATGATAAAAGTGATTAATTCAATAGAAGACCTAAGAATCATAATGTGTATACACCCAACAGTAGAGCTTCAAAATGTATGAAACAAAACCAGACAGAATTAAAGAGAGAAAAAGACAATTTCACAATCCAAACTGGGGAATCTAACACCTAGACCAAAAACTCAGCAACGCAGATAATCAGAATGATGCCATTAACCACCTTGGTTTAATTGATATTCATTTAGCCTGAGCAAATAGCAGACTTCACATTCTTTTAAAGTGTTCATGGAAGGTCTCTGCCAGGAGCTATCTCATTCAGAGAGGTTTTTTTTTTTCTCTTTGAAGCCAGCTCTACTGTTGTTGAACACGCATACAAAGAGTGAGGACGCAGTTTGTTTTAAATGCATTTTATTTTTACTCTTTTCTGAGTTCTTCTGCATACTGCAAAAGCACATTTTCTGTATGAAATTGAACCAAATCTACTGTTCTGGTTTGAAGACAGAATGGCAAAGCAAATGTCAACTTACTTGAAGGAGGCCTTGCTGATGGCCGATGAAATTAAGTCATAGATGCTCTAACTTAATAATTCAATCCCTGAATTAACTGGCTTCATGCAGCATTATCTGTGAAATGTGGGTCTCCAGGTTTGGCCACTTTGATAGAATCACTAACCTGTCTGAGGACATTTGCTCTAATTAGAGGCTGCAGAGGAGCCAGCCAGCTGTGAAGGGTAGTGTTTCATCAGCTTTATGCCTTGATTCTCCACTCTCACCTGGACTTTTCAGTCATCTCCAGTGGCTACTCCGATGGCCACCCAGCCCTCCCACAGTCCACCCTCCTCACCAGCTCAAGGGAGTTTCAAAACACCAGGGTGGTCACGCTACTTATTCACTGTCTAAACCTTCAGCGGCCTTGCACTTGGGATAATGTCAAATGTCTTCAATGTGGCCCAACGGGAAGTGCCTGGTCCAGCCTCGACCACTCCTCCATCTTCATTTGCTACATTGCTCTTGACTCTGATCTGAAATTGGATTCCCTTATAATTATCTGGGCTCTCACATGGCTTCAGATATCTTTGTGTGTCACGAGGGTCCCAGCATCGCAGCCTGAGGAGCCCTGGCCCGGAGGCCCTTCCCAGCCTGGGTCATGCAGCCTCCACACATCTTATGCCACTTGGCCCCTGCCTTCCCCCTCCAGCCACAGAGGGCTCCTTTCAGTAGGGTTCCCTGCCTCAGGGCCTTTGCACTCTCCATTCCTTCTGCCTGCGAAGCTCTTCCTCTCCCTCTTTGTCTGATTATCTTTCTCATTCCTAGTCTCCCATCTGTTCATACATCCCGTACTCCTTCTCACCCCAGGGCCTTTGCTCAGGCCATTTATGCTGCCTAGAATGCCCTTCCCTCTTACCCCTTTTAACTAGTTAGCTCCCCCTTAGCCTGTATGTCTCAGGTCAAGACACAGGTAGGTTGAAAGTAAATGGATGGAGAGGTATTTCTTCTCAGGGAAGTCATCCCTGACCCCTATGCATTTTTCCCCTGTACTATATTGATAGGTCCCTAAACCTTTCATTCCTGGTACTTTTCATTATAATCACAATTTTACTGATGGGACTGTAATTAATGTCTGACTTCTATATCCCTCCGCCACGCAAGCTGAGGCCAGGGCAGGACCTCTGGCGTCTTGCTCCCCACGTCATCCCCGCAGAGCCTCACACTGCCTGGCACAAAGTATCGATAAATGCAGCTGTTGAGTCAGGTTTCCCTGATCATTTAAGCAGTGAGCGCCCTCTGGGGGTAACTCGAGGAATTGACCTCTATTCTCCCAGGCTGTATAGAGACAGCAAAGTGCTATGCCCAGTCCAGCTCATGTGCCTTTGCAAAAGTGACATCCTTCACCTGCAGTGTTCACCCTCTTTCTCCTACCTACCCAAGCCCCTGCCTCCTCCTACCTGGTTGGGTTTGAAAAACCTTTTTCCCACCATCCCACCAACTCACCAAAAGACCCACTCAATTTATGATCCCATAAAGAATTGCCATCTCTGCTTGTTTAACAAGCCTCAAATAATTGAGTCATTTCATGCCCCCTCCCTCCCCAGCAGTTACCCGCAGCCATCCCGCGCCCACCCCCAGCCCCCCAGCCTCTGTTCCTTCCTGACTCTGAGTCTTTGCTTAGGCAGATCCATCCACATAGAATGCCCTTGGGAAGGGGAGCCCAGCCAGGAGCCAAACGCCCAGATGTCATCACATGGTCACGTTTTCACCATCAAAGCTGAAGGCTCACGGCCATGGGACAGGCGTCCTCTAACTCTGTAGAACGGCTCCTCTTTCCTTTTAAGACGCCCCCCCCCAACCCCAGTCACCACCTCCTGCACAAGCAGCCTCTCACCCGCTCCCTGGCACCAGGTACTGCCTCCAATCCATCGGTGACTCAGCGGATCTCAATGAACCATGCTTCCAACGAGCCCCTCCCCAGCTCAAGAGCCTGAGGCGGCTCTCTAATGCTCCTGTCTAAACCCTCCTGCCTACGTTTTAGGGTGGTCCGCAAACCACCCACTGCACCCCCAGCTCCCACCCTCTGCTCTAATCACACTGGCCTCCTCGGTGCCCCAGCAACAGACATCATTCACATTCTCCTCATATCCCTCTGACTGCAAATCTTATTCCTGGCCCGAGAGCCCAACTCATGTGCTCTGTCGTCACAAAGTCAAACCTGGGATGACCCACAGCCCGCCCTGGGCCGCTACCTCCAAGAATACACAAAGCCCTGATAGCCTGGCCCCCAAAGCATTTACCAGCCAGCGCTCTTCCGCAGTAGGTCCATCTGGGCTCATTTTTTTTTTTTGCGGTACGCGGGCCTCTCACCGTTGCGGCCTCTCCCGTTGCGGAGCACAGGCTCCGGACGCACAGGTTCAGCGACCATGGCTCACGGGCCCAGCCGCTTCGCGGCATGTGGGATCCTCCTGGACCGGGGCACGAACCCGTGTCCCCTGAATCAGCAGGTGGACTCTCAACCACTGCGCCACCAGGGAAGCCCTGCGCTCATTCTTTTTCTTTTTTCCACCTGGGTCATTCGCCCCTTGATGGCAAGGGAAGCAATTCCTTCCTCTCTGTCTCCCCCAAGCATGGCTTGTGCTGTGCACCGTACAGAGTAGACCCCTGGGACCGGCATCAGATGCACAGTGAGGAGCCTTCTGCCTCAGTGCGCTCATCTACACAGGCAGAGTGGATGGGCCGGGCAGACCTGCCCTGTCCAGTCCAGGAGCCACTCACCACCCATGGCCACAGAGCTCCTGAAATGCCACAGGCCGAAGTGAGACGTGCTGTAAGTATAAAACCTGCTGTATAGCACAGGGAGCTCAGCTTGGTGCTCCATGATGACCTAGATGGATGGGATGGGAGGGGATATATGTATACCTAGAGCTGGTACACTTCATTGTACAGCAGAAACTAACACAACATTGTAAAGCAATTATACTCCAATAAAAGAATATGAAAAAAAATACACACGGAGTTTCAAAGACTTAGTTTAAAAAAAATGTAAAGAGTTTCATTAATGTTTTGTATTGTTACATGCTGAAACAATATCTTAGATACATTAGGTTAAATAAAATCTATTATTAAAACTAATTTCACCCGTTGCTTTTTACTTTTTTAAAACATGGCTGCTAGGAATTAAATTACCTACATGGCCGGAGTGTGTGGCTCACATTATATTTCTGCTGGATGGTGTGGGGATAGAACATCAGTGCTGGAAGGGGCCTCGGATGTTATTGAGTCTAATGGCTACCTTTTCCACGCGACAAAGCAGACTCAGAGAGGGACAGAGGCATGCCCAAAGCCACACCACGTGTGAGGTCCGGGCAGTGAGGACTAGAGCCCTGCTTCCTGGGCCTTCATGGTTTGGGGACAGCTGGTGTGCGACACTGGAGGGGCCGACAGGTGGGTGCCCACAGGCAGCCCTCAGCAGCAGAGGGTGTTAGAAGGGGCTTGGGAGGCTCCCCCCGCCCACTCAGGGCTGTCTTTGCCCACTTGCTATGCTGATCGCATACCCAGACGTCTGCAGGGCAGGAGATTTTAGTGGATAATCAATAGTCCAATAGGGCCGACTGCAAAGCCCCAAACCTAATTATTTTGTTCAGAAACTCGTCTGTAACTAAAAGGCATCTGAGAAATCACTGTCACCATCTCTGAGGGGGAAGAGAAATCCAGTCATTATGTCCAATTGGATTTACATTGACTATTGTCTTGTTGTAGAAGATGTTGTCTCCCTGCAAAACCAGTGTTTGGGTGCCACAGGGACACACACACACACGTACACACTCACACACACATACACATGTATACATACGTACACACACTCACACACATACATACACATAAGCACACACACACGGGAGAGCTGTCCCTTTTCTAGGAGCCTTTGGGAAGGTTCTGGTCCACCGTTTTTGCACAGGTGGCCAGAGGTGCTGTTACCTGGGTGACTTTCTGGGTCTTATTTTTGAGGTTCCAGATTTTGCCACCCTAATTCCTCTGAGGAGAGTAGAAAACAAATCCCTTTAAAATGGCAGCATGAATAGCTTCTGCAACCCCAGGCATTTGCTGAACCCCCTGAATGAGAGAAAATATTTAGGATGAGAAATCTTTTGAAAATTAGTTAAGACATTTGCATGTCAAGTCACTTAGGTGACTTTAGAATTGCAGTAGGAAAAATCTGGAAGCTCCTGACTGGCTGCACACGGGGGACTGTGAAAGTAAGTGGTGGTCACCCTTACAGTGAAATACCCAGTGGCCACTTAAGAAAACGAGGTAGTGCAAGGTTTACCACGGAAAAGTATCCAAGACATTCTTCATTCTTTGATTTGTGAAATCAAATATCACAGGATAGCGTGTCTGCGATGATTCATTTAGGAAAACAAGTGAACTTATCAAAAAGGCTATAAATACATGTACTCATGCAAAATGCAGACAGATACTGTACAGTCAATACGGTACTGACTGTATTTAGTTCCAGGGACTGAAAATAGTGTGGGGGGAGGGAGAGTAGGAAGGTGAAGATTTTTGCTCTCCACGGGTAACTTTATGCCCTTGCAATTTTTTTGAAGTGTTATTTACCAGAAGCTTCTAATGCTTCTTTCTCATATCTTTATTATGGGATATATCATATATACAGAAGAGGGCACAAAACATATGTTTACAGAGTAAAAAATTACTGTTCACTGAGCCTCATGTGACCCCACCCGGGTCAAGATATAAAACACGGCTGGGGGCTTCCCTGGTGGCGCAGTGGTTAAGAATCCGCCTGCCAATGCAGGGGACACGGGTTCGAGCCCTGCTCCAGGAGGATCCCACATGCCGCGGAACAACTAAGCCCGTGCGCCACAACTACTGAGCCTGCGCTCTAGAGCCCATGCGCCACAACTACTGAGTCCATGTGCCACGACTACTGAAGCCCGTGCACCTAGAGCCCATGCTCCAGAACAAGAGAAGCTACCGCAGTAAGAATCCCACGCACCGCAACAAAGAGTAGCCCCCACTCACCGCAACTAGAGAAAGCCTGCGTGCAGCCTTGAAGACGCAATGCGGCCAAAAATGAATAAATAATTGTTTTAAGAAACCCAGCCGGAAGCCCCGGAGCTTCTGGGGTTCTTTCCTCCATCACAATAACCTCCTTTCCCCTAGAGTTCTTGACTTGTTAGATTTTCTGTTCCTTGCCCTTTTTACAATTCTACCACCTATGGCATTTTCCTAAAAATATAATTGAGGTTTGCCTGTTTTTTATCTTTTTATAAGTGGAATCATCCTGTAGGTGTTCTTTCTCTATCTGGTTCCTTTTCAGTCTCACCAATATCACTGGTGAGGTTCATCCATATGATGTATACCTAACGTTCATTCCTAATCACTGCTGTATAGTATTCCATTTCAGGACCATATCGCAATTTCTTTGTTCCTTCTGTGGATGGACATTGTGGTGTCCCGCATTTGTTATTAGCAGTGTTGCTAATAAACACACTGGAAATGTGTGGCCCGAGTTTCTCCAGGGTCTGTGCCTGGGAGGGGAACTGCTGGATCATGGGATACCCACAGCTTCACCCTTCCCAGCAAATGTCAAATGCTTTCTAAAATAGTTGCATGAATACATATTGCTAATTTTTAAGGGTTTTTTTTTAAGGTCTTTATGCAACTGGAAAATGAGAAGGTGAAATGGGTTGTAAATTGTGTGCCGACCGACCAGCCTGCTTCAGATCTTGACACGGCCCTTTCTCTCTGTTCTCCACAGCTCACATCTCCCCAGAGATGAGGGAGGGGCTGGTTAGCGGGATTGCTGATGCCACTGAACTGCACACATCCCCAGAAGGAAGGGGTTCTCCAAAGCTGGTAAAGCCGAGAGGCCGCTAAGCCTACATGCCCAGCAGCAGACAGTCCATCCTCCTGTCTGTACTGCAAGCCCACCGTGTGCCAGGACCGTGCAGAGCACCTGAGTGCCTCTGATCTCCCAATGGACCCCGCAATGATCAGGCAAGAGAGCAAAATGTCAACAGTCCCACACAGTGGGGCAACTTTACCAAGTTCAGGGTGTTTAAATAGAAGCTGTTCTCCCATCCAAAACCTCTCCTTGTTCTTTGCATCAATTTGGCCTTCAGAGAGAAGGGTAACCAAACATAAGATGACTCAGCCTAAGGGTGACAATACCGGCGAGACCCTCCAGTGGGCCCAGGCAGCATGATGGCTCTAAGTGGGATTGGCTGGGCCATGTGGCTGGCTTTGGGGAAAGACTCAGGTCGCCTTTGTAATGGGGCCTGGTGTCCCTCAGTCACCTGTCGGGAAGGAGGAAGGGTGGGTGATGCAAAGGGAGGGAAGGAAGGTGGCAGAGGGCGCGCTCTGCCCACTGGGCCCTCCTGCATTTCGGGAGCAACCCCAGGAAAGGTGCAGGGTGGGGTCAGGGCCCAAAGAATAAGTAGCACCAACAGGGCCCCAGCACCTCATCTACTAACATTTCTTCAACAAACATCCTGCCCTAAGAACGCACAGTCCAGCTGGACAGAGAGGACGACACAGGCCTCAGTCACGGGGTAAGTGTGCAGAGGCCAGCAGCGGGCAGGGGAAGGGGGGAGGGCCAGGGCGGGGCCTCGAGGTGGGATCCAGAGTCTGAGAAGGCAGATGCCTTAAGAGCGAAGCCCTGGGTCTACTCAGAAGGAAACAGAATGGGATTCTCTCTCTTTCCACCAGGATCCTTACTTTGTTCAAAATGAAGGCAGGATGTTGTCATCCCAGGCAGGTTTACATCCTAAATGTACCTCCTTCTGTGGTCTCTGTGTGGCCAAACAGCCTGGAGAACCTGCAGTCTCCTTAGCCTCTACATCACAGAACATTCCACCTGGAGAGAGCCTTAGCGAATCCTCAGCCCGTGGTTTTCATTCCTAACCCTCTCTCTCTCCTCTCTCTCTCTCTCTCTCTCTGTTTTAAGTTATGGATGTCTTTCTTCAAACAAAATGTTATAGGGAAGCAGAATATATAAAACAGAGCAAAGCAAAGCTACTCAGGCCAAAACAGGGGTAAGTGGCTGGAACCTTTGCCTGGGCTTCAGAAAACTCTGTATGAAAACCCCTGGGCTACTTCAGTCCCCTTGTACACTGGGGAAACTGAGGCACGGAGATGTGGTCCTTACCATAAGCTCTAAGAAAGCAGAGACCTGGTTGGTCTTGTACCACACTGAATCCCCAGCATCCCAACCCTACCCCAAGTCCTAGCACATAGTAGATGCTTAGTAAATATTCATTGGATAGTGGCATACAAGCAATGCTGACTGTCTCGGCAGGGTCATCTGTTTTCCTACACATGAAATTGCTTTCCAACAAGGGAGGCTTGAACCTCAGAGAGGCCCCTTAATTGCCCATGTCTTGAATTTACAGCATTTGAAAGGGTTTTATTCTCTGATCTAAATGGCAAGAACAAAAGCAGAGCAGTAAAGAGCCCAGGAGGATGAAAAGAAGCCGTAATTTGCATCCAAGATGGAGGTGCCCTTTGTTATCCCAAGTCAACTTCAAAGTTCTCTGCTGAACAGATAGATGCACATCAGTCACCATGGCAACAACCAAGAAGCCCAACCCGCCCAACCCTGACAGCCCAACTCCAGGAAGCTGGGGATGGGGGAGGAGACAGAGGGACTACAGTGGGTGGGGAGTCCAAGTACCCATTCAGCCTGGCCCCTCTGTCACCCAGCTCTCTTACTGCTTCTCTGTTGAGGGAGGGGGCTCTGGGTCACCAGCTCCACCTCAACACACTTGAGCACCTGCCACGTGCCTGGGCATCAGAAGTGCTCTCCTGAAGAGCTATACCTCAGTGTCTGGCACACAGTTATTGAACAAAAGCTTGCGATGCGTAAATAAATGAAGAAGCAGCCGAAGTCACCTGGCCCTGCCTGAAATCAGCGGCATCAGAATCGCTGGGAGGTACACTCAAGACTGGGGAGCTCCTTGAAAGCTGCACACATGCCTCTCAAGTTAGAGCAGGAGAGAGAAGAAAGCAGAGTCAAGACAGCCTCACAGGCATGTGGCTTGAGCTACTAGCAGGCTGGGGCTGCCACTCCCCAGATGCATGCGGTGGAGCAGGGCCCCAGGAGAGGTTAGAGCTCTGTCCTGGATTTGTCCAGGGAGAGGTGCTGGGGAAGCAGTCGTGAGTCTGCAGTTCTGGGGAGAAGCCAGGACTGGAGATGGTGTTTATAGCCATCAGAGTGGATGAGACCGAAGGGAGGGAGTGGAGACAGGGAAGAAACGAAGGGTCCAAGGTGTAAGCCCTGGAGCCCAATGAGGAGGACCCAGCAAAAAAACGTGAGCCATCAGAGAGAGAGCATCAGGCAATGTGGTGTTGTGGGAACCAAGAGAAAGAGACAAGCGCAGGCTGGGGAAGAAGGATGCAGTCATGACTGGAGACCTCAGGGTACCGAGTGGGGAGCCAAGGAAGAGTGCCTCTACCCCACGCGTGCCGGGGTGTTAGCCACTGAAGATACCCCACCTGGCTGGGGATTGCATCCTTTTCCCCAGTCACAGTGGGAGTGGGGGAGGGGTGCTGGAGAAAGCGGAAACATGGCACTTTTTGCCTCCTAATCACAGTAATGGAGACAGCTAGGACTTTTGTAGGCGCTTGTAAAGCCGGGCACTGGGCTACAGCACTTCACACGGATTATCTTGTTCGATCCTCACAACAACCCTTTGAGGTAGGTACTACTGTTATGTCGACTGGCCAGGCTGCCTGTCTCCACAGGCAAAGGCCTTAACCACGACGCTGCACTGTCTCTTCCGGGTCAGCACATTGAGGGTGCCCCCAGGGAAGTTTCTGGTATCTGAGAACCTTCCTCTTGATTCTAACAGTCACCTTCTTTGGGGGCATCTCTGGACAGTGGGCAGTCTTACCACCTGGCAGAAACCAGGGCACTGCTCTTGTTAGTTTGTGGCTCCACTTAAGGTTATTTACTGTGTGCCTATGTGTGCACAGGCTGATGTGGCCAAAGGGGATCCGGATAGATGCACATCAGTGCCTGTGGCCGATGGCAGAGTGGCTGGACCTCTGTCTGCGGAGGACACTGGATCAGCAGGAGGCTGGCTGAAGGAGATGGACAGCATTTCCTCCTGCTGAGTACCTGTCAGCCAGGGGCAGGTTTGTGGATGTTTATTCAATTTAAGGGGCCCTCTTTAAGAAAAAATTACAAAATTGCCCATTCAAAACTAGGTTTGAATATGAATACTTATTTAGAATGAGAAAAAATAACAAATTAAAATGCCAACAAATACAAAAATGTACAAGTGCGTGACCACACTGTCAGGGTGGAGGCAAGCAAGGACCCTGAGCATAAGCTTTGTCAGTTTCCAGGTGAATCACCTCTGCCTTTGACACACTGACCTTGATCAGAGTCAGTGGAAGTCTCTGATAGTTTGTTTCAAGCACCACCTTCTGGGGCTTGGCCTGGTCCACCCTGAGGCAGGAGATAGATGGGCTCCAGGCTAGATATTTACAACTGGCCTCCTGTTCACACCTCCTGGGGTGAGAAGATGGGCTCCAGGCCGGACATTCATTACCAGCCCCCTGTTTACATTTCCTGAAGCAAGAGACAAACGGACTACATATTTATGACCGGACTCGTGTCTATATTTTGAGATCTGCACCTCGATATAAAAACCAGTAACAGAAATAGGGTAAATAACCGGACACTGGACATTTTTATGGGAGGGACAGAGTGGGCCTAAACCCTGTTAAAAGATCAAGAGGTCAGGGCTTCCCTGGTGGCGCAGTGGTTGCGAGTCCGCCTGCCGATGCAGGGGACACGGGTTCGTGCCCCGGTCCGGGAAGATCCCACATGCCGCGGAGCGGCTGAGCCCGTGAGCCATGGCAGCTGAGCCTGCGCGTCCAGAGCCTGTGCTCCGCGACGGGAGAGGCCAGAAAAGTGAGAGGCCCGCGTACCAAAAAAAAAAAAAATCAATTGGTCATACATTTCCCATCCGTGGGGCAAGGGAGACACTGCACATGTGCAGAAAGGCTTGGGGGTCAAAAAGGAGGGGGCGCCACCCCATAATAGGTGATGCTAAGGCCATCCCATAGGCCTCTGGGCTGTAATCCATCTTGGAAAAATGTTGCGCACGCGTGTTGGGGAGGGTCCTAGGGCAGGGCAGGTGCGGAAAAAGAAACCAGATAATTGGCCAGAGGTAAACAGAGACCCGGAAGGAACTGCCCTATGTAAGTGACTTACCCGCCTCTTCACTGCTCTCCTCCTCATTGGGGGACGCCCACACCCTCGCTCTCCGGGTGTGCATCTCTGCATCTCTGCCCTGCTTCTGCCTTAACTAAACAAACTGTTTCTCTGTGTGCTCTCCCACTTGTTTTGCTGTGTGTCTAATAATAAACATTGTACCTCTTCTTACAGTTCTGCCTCTGTGAGAGGCATTTTTCACCGGGGGCAAGAGCCAGGGGGTGTGGTGGCTAAGATTACTGGTTTTCATCCAGGCGACCCAGGTTCAATTCCTGGGCAGGGAATTAAGATCTCCCTTCACGCCGCCACTCACCACTGCCTCTCCCAGACCAACCCCAACTGTGGAGGGGACACTGTTAGGGAAGGTTCCGGCAGTTCTGAGCAGAGCCCACCCCAGTGGTCTGGCACAAGTGTTCAGGGGCAAAGGCTCTGTTCCGAGCACCAATATTTACCTTCTCTGTAGATTAGTCATAGGGATTTATTCACACCACGGACGTATACCGAGTACCTACTACCCGCCAACACGATGCCAGGGCCATTTCACCGTGAACCCCTCCAATATAGCTCAAAGGTTTAAATGTGTAACATGGGCAGAGAGCCTGGCACGTATTAGTTGCTCATTAAAGCTTCTTCCCATCTGCTAGGCACCCTCCCAAGCTGAGGCCAAGGTCAGAGCAATGCATCCAGCAGCCTAGGAGCCCGTCTCCTAGGCAATCAATCCTACTTCCCACCCATGAAAGCGGCAGCTACTCAAACCCTGGCTGTGGGGTGGGCGTGGGGGGCGAGGGGGGCCGGCGTGCGGTTCAGCAGGACCACGGGGGCTGCCCAGGCCAATCCTCTCCTCTCTGGAG